TGTGTGTGTGAGAGAGAGAGTGTCTGTCTGTATATGTGCGTGTGTGTGAGAGAGCGAGAGAGAGTGTCTGTCTGTGTATATGTGTGTGTGTGTGAGAGAGCGAGAGAGAGTGTCTGTCTGTGTATATGTGTGTGTGTGTATATGTGTGTGTGTGTGTGTGTGTGTGTGAGAGAGAGAGAGTGTCTGTCTGTGTATATGTGTGTGTGTGTGAGAGAGAGAGTGTCTGTCTGTGTATATGTGTGTGTGTATATGTGTGTGTGTGTGTGTGTGTGAGAGAGAGAGAGTGTCTGTCTGTGTATATGTGTGTGTGTGTGAGAGAGAGAGAGAGTCTGTCTGTGTATATGTGTGTGTGTGTGTGTCTGTGTCCTACCCTGGGAGAAGCTCCAGGAAATAGCCAGGATATGCAGTTGGAAGATGGATGGATGATATTATCAATTACTTCTGTTTATAAATGTACAAGTTATACTTTTATACTTGTGTTTTTAGCCTCCTAACTGTTAATTATTGAGTAAGTCTGATGTGAGCAGATTTTTACATTTAGCCTGTACTTATCACATTTATTACTTAATCACATCATACTTTGTCACAGATCTTTTCCCCTACAATGAAATCAGATTTAAATAAAGTAACTTGGTGGACTCACACCCCAGTGAGTCATTCCAACACAGCGTCCCATCAACATTTCATCGCATTTCAGCACCAGGCCGGAATGCATCCTCGAGGAGCATCCATTGTGCTCCATTTGTGTTGCATTGTGCGCGTGTATTTCAGGAAACAATGGCAGTTTGGAAGCTGGCATGTTCTAAGCCACAGGATGCCGCTGGACGGCCTGGTGTTCGGCCTCTGGGAGGCTGACAGGAATGCAGCACGGCCGATAGGATCGGTGCCCGGAAAATGCGACGTGGCCCTCTAAATAAGCAGGCAGCCAGGGGCTCTCGGAACCTGGAGAGGACAAGTGGGCGTGGAGGCTGGTTCTTGGGAGGCTCCACCCCAAAATGACACGACAACAGGCTCCTCTGGCCAGCAGATACGGTGCTGTGAGGTAGGTGGGGCGTTATCTCAGCGGTGTTTAAGATATGGAGCATGCGCTACATCGGTACGAAGCCAGAAAAGGCTGGACTTTGGTCCCATATTGACACGGGCAGTAGCTGCGACGGGGGTATCACAGGGCAGCTGTCAGGACTGCGTTTCATACCCAAAATCATCCCCAGGTAGGTACTGGGAAGGTTCACGATTTTGCTCTGAATGTGGGAATTTCTGTGCGGATGTCAGGTTCTGAGGGGTAAAGGTTCTGAGCCAGCCGACCCCAAAAACTTGTTATCTGGTCAGATAACAGTGCGGTGAAAGTGAGGCATTCATCCGGCCACCAGACCGGTGAGAGGAAGGAAAGGTCCTTCAAACATTCTCGCATGAAAACAAAACTAACACACGTTCCAAGCCTTTCGTGCTTGCTGAAGAAACACACGTCCCATTGTACCGCAGATACAGGAAGACGGCCTGTAAAAATAGATTTCATCATTGATCTACTTTGAGTTTCTGGGAAGTTCAGTCTTTGAAAGCGATATAAGGATTCACACCCTCCGACAGGCGTCCGTTTCGGAATTGGGGACGCCCGCTCGCGTGATATAATCTCACTCCAAGTGCCGATTGGCTTCAGTCGCTCCGGAAAGGTGTTATAACAAGCAGAATCTGCCTGCCGCTGCTCCTACGCCTGCTGATCGCTCAGGTAAGTGGAGCCGCATGCCCTCGAACCCCGCCAGGCGGACATGTTGTGGGGACACACGGAGAGCTCAGGTGTTCAGGGGCGGCTGTTAAAGATGGGTGTTAAATTTCGGCGAAGGAGGCCTTCACACACAGGCAGACAGAAGAAGGCTTCGTGATTTTCCTATGCGGGGGTCAACCTGGGCGAGGAACCGTCAGCACTACAGGGTGTTACATGGGGGACTGGTTTGCACTCTCTCTCCCAAATGAGCCCTCATCCAGACCCTCCCCTCGCTCTGTACAGAAGCCCGACCCCTGGCTTTGGATGCTGCCGCTGGGGTCTCCGTGACAACGAGATGGGACCCCCCCTCCGCATCCTTCTGATATTGTGCACAGCAGGTGCGTGTCTTTTTTTAAAGAAGCTTCTATTGCTTTTAAGACTAGCCTCCTGTACAGGGGACTGCAGGCTACCTGGGAGAAGATGTTGGATGGATGGATGGATGGATGGATGGGTGGATGATTGGTCGGACGGGCCGCAGTGAGCCGTGTTTCTTTTCCCAGGGGCACTGGCTGAGGTGCAGCTGGATCCCCAGATGGCCACAGTCCTCAGAGGGGCCAACGCTACCTTCAACTGCAGCGTGGACCAGCAGTGGGTGGTAATGATCTGGCTGCTGAACGGCAATGTGGTGTTGACTGTGACCAAGGACTATGGAATCCTGTCCAACGACCCGCGCTTCACCGCACTCAACTACAGCACCGACACGCTTTCGATCTGGGAGATCAATATCCTGGGTGTGAAGCGCACCGACATGGGAGAGGTTACCTGTGATGTGCAGAACATCCAGAAAGTAAATGCCCAGCTGTCCGTACAAGGTGGGTCGCGACCCTATGCCGACAAACCCAGAGACCCCTCAGAGCACCAGGAATTTTTATTTTACATCTATTTTTTAAATTTTACACTTGTGGGAATGGTATGTGGTTCAATGGGTTAGGATGCTGTTCCTGTCATCAGAAGGTTACTGGTTCAAAACCCAGGGTCAGCAGAATGATTTCACTTTTGGGGTCCTAAGCAAGACCTGTAACACCCAATTGCTCCAGGGACTGGCTCACCCTGCTTTCTCAAAATGCATGACATTTTGGACAAGGTACAATATATTAATTTATTATTCAGCTGTGGCTAATTAACCAAGTGCTTGGTTGGAACATCTAGGAGCAGACGCAGGGCACACCATGAGAAAGGTCATGTGCTTCTTATTCTCGGGTCCCTTTCATAAAAAGCTCCTGGATCCTCACAGTTTCCTGTATGTGGGGAAGGTGGACAGGAAGTGATTATGAAAGGTTAAAGTTCAGGGGGCGGGGCCAAAGAGTCTGACGGTTCGTGTTGTGGTTTCTATTACTTTGGCAAACAGTGATGTAAACCTCAAAGAACTCCTTTATCGATCAGAACAAGGGAGGGGTGTGTTTGCTGTGGGTGCATTCCGCGGGGGGAGGGGGGACATTGTCGTTTCAGGTTTTAAAGAGAGGGAGAATAGCGAGTGTTACAGTGTAATTCATGGGCATTTCAGCAACTGGTGAAATGATATGAATATACATTGTTTAACATGCAGCTAAAAAGATCCCTTAGAGCAAAACTGTCACTTTGAAGTGCCTGGTGAGCTGGGGCTGGCTGCACCCCGGGGAACGACAGCTGTGCGCGTTTGAGGTACTTTTCAAACAATGCAGGTTGTTTATTCTCTGACACTGATAGTGGAAATGACAACTACCACCATATCCAGGCTGGGTCTGCAGCCGCTGGGAGACTCTTGTCTTTTTCTGCATGGGAATAATGTAGCATAATCATAAATGGTCAAATAAGCACATTGTTGCTCTGTAACTGTCCTACCAGTAAATGGCTTTTATTTCACATAAGTAACAAAACGATCAGTCCTAATCATCAGGATGAACAGAGGCATGTCGGGTTGGCTTGGGTTGAATGTGAGGGCTTGTATTCAGCTACTTGCTGGTACCTATTCAGCGCCCCCCAGTGTTCAGGAGACTGAGGTGCAAAAATAATGCTTTGCTCTTCAGCTCTCTGTGATCAGCTGATGGTATGCTTTTCAACCTTCTCCTCATCTTCACCTCCAGTTCGCGACGCTAAGAGCAGGGGCGTCAGACCCAGCTGTGTTCCCTCCATGCCGTTCCATGGCAAACAGAAATGCATGAACATGGATTTGTCTATGAGCAGGGAGTCTTGTGGAGACCCTCTCCAAAGGTTGGAGATCTAGATTTAGGGTGACTTTGCTGCATCTGTTTGCAGTCTGGACATGGACACAGGCTTGTTAACAGGAGGCAAAAAGAGAGTGATGGGTCAACGCCAGAGTGCCTGAGGCTGTCTAGCTGAAATACAGTGTGTCTGACAGCCCTATAGGGTCTTAGGTCAGAGCCCAGAGGGGGGAGAGAGAGAGCGAGGGAGAGAGAGGGAATGGAGAGAGATGGAGAGAGAGATGGGGTGAGAGAGAAGGGGAGAGGGAGAGAGAGAGAGTGGGAGGGAGGGGAGAGAGATGGGGGAGAGAGAGGAAGAGAGGGTGATAGAGAGACGGGAAGAGATGGAGAGATGGGGTGAGAGAGAAGGGGAGAGGAAGAGAGAGAGTGGGTGAGTGGAAGGGAGAGGGAGAGAGATTATGGAGCGAGAGAGAGAGAGGGAGGGGAGAGAGAAAGAGAGGGGGGATAGAGAGAGTGGGTGATAGAGAGGGGGGAGGCCACCTCCCCCCAGGCCAGTGATAATAAGGTCTCCCCCCTGCACTTTCTTTGGGGATCTGCTGACCTGCCTGATGCTCCATCTACATGCAGTGATATACTGTAGCGTGGGGGGGTAGGTGCTGATGCAGTGCTCTAATACTCGCTGCAATATTTTACCCTCACACCGCGGTCTGGACCAGCACCAGGAGTGCCGTCCGCACCTCCTCCTCCTCTCCCTTCTCCTTCTGCATTACCCCCGTTATTGTTGGCACGCCGCAGGGTGAGCGATAATGTCTTAGATTTATGGTTCACGGGCCCCAAATCTCTAGCGGCACTCTTGCCGACCATTAAAAGCATAAAAAAAACAGGACAAGCATCCCATAATATCAAATACATCAGGGACAGTGACTGAGATGCGTCATCGTGGCCGGCATGGTAAGATCAGGATTTGGGATCGTCGGTGAGCAGGACAGGTCTGGGAAATCCAAGATCGTCCCTGGCGATTTTTAGGAATGACTCAGTGGTACGGACCTCATGACCGATGTGTTTTGTCAAACCGGGGAATATAATCCCCTCTGCAATGTCGTTGCTACTTCTGGCCAATAGAAAGAGTTGGTTACAGTAGCACTGTTTCAGTCTTTTAAATGATGTTAAATTCACAGTGTGTGCTCACTCACTTTTAAACTGACTCCATTTATGTGGCAAGATAACAGTGTCGGATGTAACATGTGATGTATTCTGTATCTTTACTTGGCTAAGAACCATAGGTACTGACTTAATAGCTTTCCTGTATTTCCCTCCAGTAAGTGGGACAGTTCACATCACTGACATAAACAAGACCGCTACACATGGAGAGCTGGCCTACTTCCAGTGCAGTGCCCTGGGATGGTACCCTGCACCCATTATATCCTGGACTGAAGGGGGCAGCTTAGCCAGTGCGGACAGCTACAACATCAGTATCCTGCCGGTCGGACAGGACCTCTTTGATTCCACCAGCACGCTGGGCATCGTCGCCAGCAACAGCATCAGCGTGACGTGCCTGGCTGCAGTGCCCGCCCTGACCACTCCTCTGGCGAGCAGTGCCTTCCTCACTGTCGGTGAGAGACTCCGCCTGAGGGGCTGCAGAGCAACAGTTAAAGGGGTGACACTGGCAGGGCCTCAGGGGTGTATACAGGGGCGGGGCCTCAGGGTCACTGCCCACAGCTGAAAGCTGATTGGCCTCCGGAGTGCCCCCTGTCCAGTCACTCACCGATTCAAAACATATCATTGGTTAATAAGGTTGGGCCCCTGTATGAATCGTGGCCCACTCTCATTCCCGTCACTTTAAAAATCCTCTGATCAACCCTGATGTTAAATGACTGAGCAGTGACACTGCAAGTGTTAAATTGTGAGAGTGATAAGTTACTGGGGGTTGGCAAAATGCTACTTAAAGTAGCACTTTAGTCCCCACCTGCTCCATATCACCCCGGTCCAACTCAGAGATGGGGCTGAATTTGATGCCAATGAGATTGCTAGAGATTACAGCATCCTGTCACCTGACGTCACGCGCCATGCGATCTGATCTCTCTGCGCGGTGGGGTGTTTCGGTTCACAGTACAGACCTCCCTAACACACACACCCCCGGCTCCCCAGGGCGGGTCATCGAAAGGTAAAAAATGTCAACATTCCACCCAACAAATGTGAAGCTGACCCTTCAGATGGGTTCACGGCCCCCCCAGCCGGGGACTGAATGGCCTCTGTGTTTGTTAACCTGTCCTCCAACTCAAACCCGGGACTCTGGACCCTCTGAAGTGGCCCATTGGTTATTAATGATAGTTATTATTATAATGATTATTATTATAACAGCAGCGATAGCAGCGATTCAGCTGCCCGAGGCCTGAAAGTCAGGATGACCAAGTGAATGAGTCAGTTAGCACAGATTTGGAAGAGAAATCTGCAGTGTTTGGGTTCCCAGAGCTGGGGTGGGGGGCAGCATTTGTATGACACTGAGGGATGGACCTCATAACGGCAAGTTCAGCTCTGAGGACCCTGTGAACCCGGCTACTGACTGACCTTCCAGTCCAAATCTTCATCCACTATATCCAACTATCTGTCCTTGGATGCATAACTTCAAGCACACCTTTGGTTCCCATGGAGACACGTGGATACTGTCACCATGGTCTCTGGGCGTACTTTTGGGTGCGTTGTGACACGTTTCACCTCTCGTCTTGCTTTCCTCCTGCTCCCCTTCTTCGCCCCCCTCTCCCAGAGGCCCAACCGCAATACATAAACCTGACCGTGGTCATCGCCGTCACCGTCACCGTGGGCGCCGTCTTGCTGCTGGCCATCATCATCATCATCGTTGTCTGCTGCTACTGCCAAAGGAAAAATTCCACACGTATGTATCTTGCTGCTCCATCCTCCAGGAGCAACAGGCCAAGACAGTAGAGCTCTAACTGGCTCTGGAGGTCTTGCTCACTGTCGCCCTCTAGGGGTGCTCAATGATGAGTTTGCATATGTCAATGAGTCAGCAGCAGCCATGGCATGGGGTGCAGCCAGCGGTGGGCATTATCGTGACAGCTGGGGGCCGGATCGGGTTCGAGCCAATGCTTACTCAGCTCATGTAAATGAGATGACTGTAACATCCTCGGACACCAGTGAGTGAAAACACAGCTCTGACCCAAAAACTCAGTGATGAGGGCAATACAGTGATGTGTAATGCAAGTCTATTACAGACAATGTTTGTGAAGACGAGTATTTAGTTTTTTATATAGTATTTTACCACAACCTAACACAACCCTAGTCTACCATTATAATGATTAGCCTCGCTACGTGGGAGATTAGCAATATTCCCTGTTTAGCAGCCGGCCAATAAGGGGTCGCCCGTTCCCCCCACAGCGGTAGCTTGGATGATGTCCCCTGAAGTTCTCGAAAAAAGAGCCTCCCCGGAAGAAGAGAGGTTCACTGTCGCTTCCCAGAACAGCCTGGGTGAATTCGATAACAAGGAAACTCATACAGTCTCTGTAGGTTCCCAGGCTTAACGTCGCTTTACAACTGCCTGCAGTTTTTCTTTCCATTGCTGATTTGTTCCACCGCTTTGCCACTGATGACAAGCGGGGAACCACCGTTCGCGGACCAGGACAGACTAACAACACAGGAGCTGCGCGGGTTCAAACACATCCAGCTGATCTCTTTCTGAGCGATCGGATCATGTGTTATAACAGACACTCCTCACTTAACGACCTACCTGGACCTATGACCAACTCCCCGGCCAGTCGGTATTGTATGCGGGGCGTCTCAGCGCCAAGCTTCTCGTCTCTCATCACCCTCTCTCAGTCTTAGTCTCGTTCCCGCAGTCGCTCACTATTCACTACACTAGCCTTCACAATCTCCAAGAGTACATATTTCGTTTATAGATTTTTATAGATATTTTATCGTCTGCCACATAGTACACGGTGTTGACGAAAATAAATAAAAAAACGATTACCTGCTGGAAACATTTATAAATATGCTAAAAATGTTATAAATGGTGCAAAGATGACATTGAAACAATATCTGAAGATGGTTGACGCAAACCCACTACCAGTGCAGTATGCTTGAAATATCGCTTATCGACCGATTCGCTTAACGATCTAGTCGTAGGAATGGAACTCGGCTATTAATTGAGGAGCGTCTGTTTGCATGTTCAAGTCAGAGTATGGAAATGAAAGCTGATGAGACAGTGCAGGACTTTTCTCTTCTGCTGTTGGACACCAGGTGCGTGTCGAACACGCTGAACGCTTGTGAGGGTGCCGTCTACCCCACCCTGCACTGTGGGGGTGTCGTGATTAGGGTTTGGGTTGGTTCACCACCTCTCACTGACTCGCCCTGGTTCAACTGCAGACAAAATGTGTTCATTCAGCCTTTGTCTCCTTCTATTATAGATTCCAGATACGAAGACGAGATGAGGTAAGAGTTTCGGATAAAACCGCACATACAAAGCTGGGGGTGTATTGGTGTGTATCACTTAGGGAACGTTTGGGTTCGAAGCACTAATTCAAATTATTTCAGCAGATCAAGACCTGATAGAGATATTGAGCTGGTTTTGTATTTTGACCTTTGTTGACCCCAGGAAGGCACAGAGGGACAGAGGGCAGGGTGCAGACAACCTGGGCTACTCCGCCGACAGCCGCGCGGGTGAGTCTCAGCCATATAGGCTGAAAAATAAAATGTATAAAAGGCTGAAAATGCTGCGGTTTGTGCACCATCCATGCTAATGAATCTTCTAGCTGTAAAAGTCACATGACGCGGTGAAGCCTGTCAGCCATCTTGGAAAATCAGCGCTGTGACCACACATGGATGATATTCTCGAAAAGGATAATTGATAACGGGCATCGCCCTCTCCCACGCTCTCTTAAGGTGCCGCCAATGGCCAGCTAAATGACAGTGTCGCGTCCCAGTCTGCTTCCATCAACGGTCTCCCGGTAAGATGAGCTCGACCTGGCCCAGTCATCCTCCGAACCGACACAAACGCTTCCGCCTTGATGAGACGTTACACAAGGCCTTGAGCTGTGTGCTGGAGGACGAGCAGGTGTTCACTTCCTGTCCTCCAGATGCACACGTGTGCTGGAAGTTTCTAAAGCATAATCTCAGTGTAACACCAGGATATTTAGAGATGAAATCACATGGGAGCCAGTTTATAATACATATATTTTAACACCTAGCTAAAGGTTTAGCTTGACAAACCTTTATTGTCTTTATCGGCCCACTCTCTTAAAAATAGACGTTTCCCGAGTTCCATCCATGACCAGCAGGGGGAGCACAGGCTTGCAGCATCGCCAGCGCTGTCCTCCTGCCATGACCTTTGACCCTGACCCCCTCCACCCTCACCCCTGCAGATTCCAAATGCTGTCCGTCCCCATGACGCTGACAGCCCCGGCAACCTGTACGCACAGCACAGCGGCATGAAGAAAGCTCGGTACGCCACCATCGTGTGAGCGCCGGCCCACCGGCGCGAGGGCGCCCCCACCTGGAAGGGGCATCTTACTGGAGATGAAGTGCCCTCTTGCTGTATGAGTGACATCAGCAGGGTGAAGGATCTCATCATGAACATTCGGTGCGGCTCGGAAGACAGAATTCCCAGGAACTGTCCGCAGGGAGAACACCTTAACAAGTACTTTATTTTTATATTTTTAAAAACCCTATTTTATTAAATCTCTAATTGCTTTTGTTGTTTTTTTATTGTTGACATTTTTTCTGACAATCCTTTAATTATAATGATATTTCACTATTCGGCTCTGTGGTTTCTATTTTTGTCATTTTTACCTTTGCACCTTCATGACCGTGAGCCACGGCGCTTTCGTGCACGAGCGCGGCACGAGCCGTCCGGCTCACACGCTGCCTTCTGTAATAGCGCAGAGGCCCTGTTTCCGGTGTCCTGTCCTTTTCACGCAGCGTCTTCCTCGCTCCCACGCGGGAGACGCTCAATATGTCGCTTTCATAAGCAAATTAGTGAAGATGACAGTGAAGCAGGATCATTTACAACCACACGAGTGCAGGAGTAAAAGCGGCAAGGGAGAAACAGTCCATCCATATGCCCGTGTTTGTGGGATGCTGTCCCAGGATCAGACCCCCACCACAAGTTTGGGGGCCCCCTGCTGGCCATAAACAGTCACTACACTACATATAAAATAAACATTCTTTATTTAGTGGATGCTGAAGCGGCATGTTCCCCTAACTGGCTAGCTATGATCTGTTAATGGTACTTGCTAGCTATTTATTTATTATTTGAAACATCTGGTGGCGGAGCTGTGCCCAAAGTGACTTTCTGAGCGGGGCCCCTCTGGTGCTGGCCCACAGCAAGCCTCCAGCACACCAAGTTTTGTGTGGAGGTTCTTCTCTCTGGTTCCCGGCCCTCCAGGCCCCGGATCTGCTGTGATTGCCCTGGATGCGGAGAACGTCCCCCACGAAAGTGTATCCGAGGCCAGATAACATCTGATCAGCTCTGTGGAGAGAGACGTCAGTCTCTTAAAGGGCCCACGCCGTCCCTGCGTCCTCGCTGATCTGGCGGGTGGGGGGGATGGGGTTGGGGGCGCTTCTGGGCCTTTTTTTGCTGCAGGCTCTGCAACTTTCCACGTTTGAAGAACCTTAGGCCCCAAATGGCATTTTTCAGTTTTGCTGAAATACAAAATTATAACAGAGAGCAGGGAAAAAAATCATCAGAAATGCTGAAAGTAAATGGAGTCAGAGGTTTTGTGCTGAAGGCCTCTTTGGGGCCCTGGACTGATTTTATTTTTAGTTCTGTAATAGGATTTATTGGGGAATGTGCAGTTCCCTTCCTTTGGCATCAAACTGGGACGGCTGGGGGGAGGCGGTGGCAGGAGCCCTGAGCAGAGGTCAGACCGCAGAGAAAGGCATGCTGGGTAAATGTCTGAGTGACCCCGGGGGCTGCTAATGACCCAATCACAGCCGGAAAGTGAACCGTTCTAATGAACAGTGGCAGCACAACAACAGCAGGAATATCCATCCATGGTAAAAATGATTAATTCCCTCGACAGGACGAATTCGTCACTAAATTATAATATTGATTGAAATGATGTCATATGTGGTGCAGGTATTTAAACTTGCACATCGAGTCGCACACTTGTGCATATTTGGTGCAGGTATTTAAACTTGCACATCGAGTCGCACACTTGTGCATATTTGGTGCAGGTATTTAAACTTGCACATCGAGTCGCACACTTGTGCATATTTGGTGCAGGTATTTAAACTTGCACATCGAGTCGCACACTTGTGCACATTTTGCAAATGTGTGCAAACACCAATTTACTGAGTACACCGTGTCCTGATTTGCACCGTGTCCTGATCACTCATGTTTTTACATCTACTTTATTAATGTATTTACATTTTTGTTCTGTATTGTCTGTGTATGACTACAGAAATAATGCCAACACAAATTCTAGGCCAACAAAGTGAATTCTAATATACAGACGCTCCCCGGGTTACGATGGTCTGTGTTACTTTACGGTCGGTAAATGTTTTTCTCTTTCAGCACATCATTCAATAAATTACATGAGGTATTCAACACTTTATGATAAAATTGGCTATTTGTTAATGATTTTGCCCGACTGTAGGCTAATTGATGTTTTCTAAGCATGTTTAAGGTAGGCTGTGTAGGCTAGGCTATGATGTTCGTTGTATTAAAATGCATTTTCCCCTTATGATGGCTGTGTTGGGATGTAACCCCATCGTAACCCAGGGAGAGGATGTGTTTTTAACGCCACTTGAATGACTGACAACCACACATTTCTTTTTCCATAAGATTCATGAAGGACCGTGTAACTGCAACACCCCCCAGCTGCAGCAGCACGCGGTCTGGGCGCCCTGACATGAACCCACGCTGACCCCCGGCTTGCGCTCAGGGGTGCGCCCTCCCCCTGGCTGTGTGGCTGATCACGGCAGCTTAATTGCCTTGATTCGCGGGGAGTTGGCCTGGTCTTGATTCTCCTTCCTCTCTTCCGTGTGGCGGTATCTTCCCGCGCTCTGGCTCCGTGCTGCGCCCGTCCGTCCTTCCCAGGACGATGCACGCTGGTTAGCTGAGGCAGCGTTCGGGATAATTAAATTGGCATGCTGCAGCACATGACGCCCCCCCCCCCCAATAAAAATGATTCCTAAACACCGCATTAAGCAACCCACAAACAAACAGAAGACACGATCACATGAGGGATCACCCGCGATTTGTCTTTACAGTGTTATATTGTAAATGGTAGCACGCTGGGTTCTAAAATGTGGGTTTCATGTGGTCGCCATTCTTTCTTCCACGTTTCCTCGGGTCACGCAGAGAGCTTGGTCAGATAGCATGGGCTGCTAGCCGAGCATGGTGGCGTAGCCTGATAGCTTATGCTCAAAGCGTAGCCTGATAGCCTAGCCGCATAGCTGAGGATAATAGCATAGGCTATTAGCATTGGCTGATAGCATAGCCTGATAGCACGGGTTGACAGCCGATGCTGATAGATTGAGGCCGATAGCATAAGCTGATACCAAAACATGGTGATGTAGCCTGATAGCCTAGCCTCATAACGGAGGATAATAGCATAGGCTAATAGCATGGGCTGACAGCGGAGGCCGATTGCCTAGCATGATAGTGCGGAATTGTAGCCAAGGCTGATAGCATAGGCCGATGGCACAAACTGATAGCACTATTACTTTTTATAATATATTTTTAGAAGTGGTGCACTTTATATCTTGTTCGTTGCACAATGTGTCATTTGCATGCTTTTTTTGTCCAACCAAATTTTTTTTACAATTCTAGAAGTGGTGAAGTATATGTTTTGAATCATTTCGACCTTGATTAACAAGTCTTTATAAATGCTTGGCTATAAATAATATCATATAGGCCTACAACAATGTGTTTAAAGTGAATGCAGGTATTTTATTTAGCAAAAGCGAAATTTCACGGAATGATTGGTTGCCGGACAGGGGTGAAGTTTTTCTCCGTGCGGACGGACGGCTCAATCGGAAGAAAATTTTTGCGGTACCGAATGAAAACGGGCCCTGAAAGTGCGGTTCATTTTCTGGCGGAGGCTGTTATTGAATGAAACGGAAGCTGAGGCAGCGTTAGGAGCTTAGATGTCCTTGTAGAGCTAGAAATTAGAGACCAATACAACTCTGGCTCCTGAGTACAGCAACGATCCCCCCTGGAACATCCCGGACTCTGGATAGCCGGCTGGCTACTCATCCTCGTTCATAAGCATGCTGAGCTCATCGAATAACGCAACAGGCAGAGATTTAAAGGCAGCTGAAATAAAAATCACCCTGGTTCATATCATAATTAGTTTTATGGTTCTTGGTACCATCGCCGGCTGCGATTACAGATTCAAAGGCTGAATTGACTTACATTCAAGTCAAGTCAAGTCAACTGGATCTTTATTGTTACACCATCTAAATGCGTTCCACAGTATACAACGGCACGAAATAACGTTGCCCTGGAGTATATATACATAAAGTGCAGAGACTGTAAATAAGACAAGTGTAACAAATGAGGGAGGGGGAGGAAAGGGGAATAATAGGTAATAAATAAAAATAATACAGAATATATGTGCACTAACACACAGGGGGGCTAGGAGTGCCCATATAACAGATGTTACTGTGGGAAACAAATATAAAAAGAAATAATAAATGGAACAATATGACAGATATGACACAGATGTAGGGAATAGTGCAGTGTGGGCAATGTCCACTGGATAAAGTGGCCAGTGCTGATGGTTAGCCAGGTTTATAATGGGGTTTATAGGTTTGTAAAGAGTTTAGAGATCTAACAGCTTTGAGGAAGATGCTCAGATGCTCCTGTACCGCTCGTGGGAGTTTAATTTCAAACATTTTCTGAGGGTTGGACCAAAAATGATTGGTTCAGAGAGATCACCAATCAAATTGCAGAGGTCTGATTGGTTGGAGGAGGCTAAGACATCTGATTGGTTGGTCCTGCCTCCTCTTGTTGACTGGACGCACCTCCTCTACAATCTGATTGGTTATCTCTCTGAACCAATCATTTTTCATTCTGCCCTCAAAACATTTTTGCGTAAGTAAAACTCCCACGAGCGGTACAGGAGCATCTAAGCATCTTCCTCAACACGGTTAGGTCTCTAAACTCTTTACAAAC